TTTGGACATAAGCGCTTCTCCTTACCATCCGGTTGCCCAATGGCTTGTGGATGTTTTGGAACCTGTTCGCAGACAGATTTCACACTACAGTCTGAAGGATACTTTCCGATTTGTGGAACTTATATGCAAACGAAACACAACTAGTTTGTCTATGGCATCATTAGATGTGACATCGTTGTTCACCAATGTTCCTTTGGGGGAAACAATAAACTATTTATGTGACTACATCATGGTCAACGAGTCAAACATCGGTATTCCATTGGTTAACTTGAAGGAGTTACTACCACGCTGTACCTTCAACGTTTAGTTTAGCTTCAACGGAGCATTGTGCAGACAAACGGACGGAGTTCCAATGGGATCACCTCTGAGCTCACTTTTGGCTGACATTTTCGTCGCAAAATTGGAAAACCAAGAACTCCGAGATACCATAGAGGGTTCACCATTCTATTGCCGTTACGTTGACGATATTTTCATATTAGTTGACGATAATATACCGTTGCAAACACTGACCAGCACGTTTACCCGAGCTCACGACGCGCTCCATTGTACGTTGGAAATGGAAACGGCCAACACATTCCACTTTCTGGATGTTCATCTTATCAAGCGTTCGGACGGAACAATTAGTAGCGCAGTCTATAAGAAACCCACATGGACAGGTCAATACACTCATTTCGCCAGTTTTGTACCTTTGGGGCGTAAGCGAAACCTCGTCCGATCCCTAGTTGCTCGCGTCACAAATATATGTTCAGCAGAAAACCTGGAGTTAGAATTGAACCGGCTCAGGCAAGCCCTATTGAACAATGGCTATTCCGAGAGATTTATTGAAAAGAATCTCTGTGAAAGAGCCAAAAGAACAACGGTGACTACAGTAAGCCAAAAGCAAATCTATATACGTCTCCCGTTCAAAGGTGACTACAAATGCGATTTGTTAACAAGACGCCTAGATAAGTCGATCGCTCGAACGTTTCATGCGACCCGGTTACGTAAACAATTCACCAGCCGATTTTTGTTGTCATTGAATCTCAAAGATACACTGCCTATCCTCACTTCCTCCGTGTTGACCTATTCTTTTGTTTGCACATGTTCGGAAAGCTACATAGGCAGGACGATCAGGTAGTTTTCTCAAACAATCAAGGAACACAAACCGGCTTGGTTAAACACAGGAACCACAAAGACCGTTTCGAGTGCAATCACGGCGCACCTCGTAGATACCGGAAATCAGATGACTGAGGATGGGTTCAAAATTATCTACAACGTACCCCCAAACCCCTCCAGAACCCTCCGACAGCGCCATCTTGCGACAGCAGAGGCCATAAGGTTATTGCGACCATCTCTATACTCACAAAAACAATTCGTCAAAGCCCAACAATTACCCTGACCCAGACCCGACACTGACCGTCAATTAACCCATGACGCTTCTCGTGACCCTTTCACTTAAGTGTGTGACCTCGCCGTTCCTGTTTCATCCCTCTTCCCCCTCCCTCTCCTTTCTCTGTTTTCACGATTCCCTATTCTAAACCATTGATTAACAATTTTTTTGTTTTCACGTCTTTCCCATTCACTCCTCACCACTTCCATACCGTCCAATGAACGAATTTTCGTTCTGTCATTAATTGTTGCACGTTTATTCACTAACTGTATAACTGTATAACTGTATTAGCCAGAGGATGAGGTTATCGAAAACGAGCTTATTCGCTACTCGTGTTGTGCTGTCAATCTCGCGATGGGAATTTTCAGTGAATAAAATGACTTCCAGCCGGAGAATTTGCCAAACCTCAGGTATACACCAATCTTTAAGGTTACGCTACTCATTTATTTAACTTTACAATCATGTTCGTTATTCTGTTCTATTTTATTAGTGGATATAAGCCGACGAATTTTATATAAATCACCGAGACGAGTAAATGATATGCATACATCTTGCATCTTTGATTATGGTTTGGATAAATGAACAGTTTCAAACTGGACACGTATTTTTAAAATGACAGTATTCAGTGTTGCATCAACTCGTTGGTAGCGTGTTCGAGTTCCACCGGCATTTGCCGTTTTGACTTCACTACGAACCCATGCCGAGATATCTGTATTTCTGAAATTAATCAATCGTACGATGATCTTCTCGATAAAAAAATGAAATAATCATTTTAATTTATTCACGAGATCTTTATTTTGTGAATAAGGAACTGGAACGGGTTAAGTTCAACCGCGACAGTGTTCGTTACCAATACAAGGAAAACAGGAAGTGAACCAACTGTTCAGTTAGAAGAAATAACCTTGAACGGCTTTTCGCATGAAGAAGGAATAAAGGCAAAAAGCGAGGCACACAGGAGAACGAAGGATTTGTATATGCCGACAAGAGATCAACAACCTTTCAGCTTTTTTTCTGACGAAGATACTTCTATTATAATTTTAGAAGCAAAAGATATGATGTGAAAAACATGCTTATAGATTACTGATATAATCAAATTTATGATAAGTAATGACCACAGTAACTAGGTACATGTGGGTATTAGATCTAAGCCACTGCATGTACAGATCATACGCAAGATCTATAACCCACATCCTCATTCCCGTTACCATCGTCACACAATGGAACTAACTTCAGGATGAACGACAGATTCACTACATACACAAGTTGGAATGCGTGATGTGGACAGGAAGCGGGCCTGTTTCGGGAGACGGAAAGAACAGTGTAACTATTTGTTCCACAGTACAACCACACTTTTTCAAGTACTTTGACCTAATGAGAAATCACAACTAACTCTGCCGGATGTCTTCAACACGTAGAAAGAATCTCTCACAAAATTTGTACGATAACAATTTCCATTCGGTTAATCTTCTGCATAGCTCGCTAGCCATATCCATATTCATTCAGTTATCATAAATCCGAATTCTCGAGTCGATAAGAGGGCAACTGAGGACAGGATACACTTGATCCTTGTGCATCGTCTACATGGGCATTTAATTGGATGCGCTCCTGTGATTTAATTTTGTTGCTCGTCAGTATACCTTTGTGTGAAATACGTCCATAAATTTGGGCAGCTACATAGTAAAGATGACGTGAATGTGGAAATATATCGATCAAAGATAAGGTACTACAACTACACATGGAAAAGTCACAAACACGTTAGAGAGCGTTACACGATCACCCACGCGAGGTAGGAGGTTGACTTGCTAGGCCCCACTATGAGCTTCATACTGGATAGCTGAACCTACGGGGCAGTGAGGTGGTGCTTCGAGTGCGTAGGGGGCCTGTGTCCAGTTGCTCGGACTGCGCAACCTTCGGGCAGAGTTTCAAAGCCCATGGCGATCAACGTGTCCATCGTCCAATCTAGTCGGTGGCCGCATATCCGGTATTGTGGGGCCGAAATTATGCTACTCATCAAGAGTGGTTTGGAATCAATGTTTACCACCTTTTTTATTACGCACCACTGTGATGAACAGCAGATGGGGCGGACCCCATAGTCACGAACACCTGTTATTCAGTGATTTTAACCGGCAACCTAATTCCCGAGACTTGGAGTGGCGAACCACATAAAACCCCGCTAGGATAAGTGTGAAATTGAACCGGACGACAGCAAAGCTGCCCACCACCAAAGTTGGGTGGAGAGGTTCGAACCTCGGACCACAGGGTCCAAAGCACGCAGGAGACAGTGACTAAACCACTGCTCCACGCACCACCTGTGCTAGAAGAGCTGCCTACCACTGATTCATCAGCCTGGCTAGATTCTTGTGCAGCGTCACTTAAGCGAAAACATCCCAGCCACGTGAAAAAGACTACTGCTCCAGGGGACATAAACGGTAGTCACTATGGGTCGGTACGAGAGAAGCCCGGGAAGGTGAAATCCTTTTACCGACACTCATCCATCCGCCGGCATGCTGCGGCTTTTAGTGGAGAGAGAACTTCACTGTTTTCGGCAACATTAAAATTATCGTCCAACATATTATATTTTCTTCACTTATTTACCAGACGGGTTGTTCAAAATGAACAGCTGTATTGCTTGTACAATGTAGAAGAGAGATTCAGCTGTACAGTTAACGTCATTCACAGTATAGCAAATTGACAGGACGTTTGATGAACCGCGTATTTTTTTGTTGATGACGCTAATGTATGCAATGTTCTCAAATAGCTCTCACTCCAGTGAGGATACAAATTATCCCGACCCTCACTGATTTTGCCTGTGGAAACCCTTCAATTGGGCCGTCGGGCCACACACACATACCGACGGAAAACAGCACTTGGTCATGCGCTAAAAGCAATTTGTAAACCCGACAGCTATAACAGAGACCCAGTGTTGCACATGAGTAAGCATGTATGAACGACCCAAACCATCCGAGTGTTGTCTGTTAGACTGCTTCTCGAACGCGGCGCAATTCGGTTTAGTGTTTTATTCGAAACTGGTCAAGCCTAGTTGTACCATTTATTGGTAGTTTCCGTAATCTCGCATACCAGCGGAATACGTAACCGGTAACTGCAATGTGTGTGCTAGTGATTGGCTGATCACAAATGATGAATGTGACGAAACTGGTAAGTTCCCAAAGGTCGCGAGAGTTAAACTGAAGGATTAAAACTGTGTCGGTAAAATGAACCAACTTCAACCGAAATTAATTTTCTTACAGCTGAAAATCAACACGTCATGTTAAACCAATGCTGAAATATCCGCAGTTACCAAAATGACAATACATCAATTGCAGGAAGCATTAGATTAAACAGAGCTAGGTAGGAACAATGACAACACTAAAAACAAGGTACAGTATTCCGCGTGCAAACGAAACATTTGAACCGAGAGAAGGAAAGGAAGTAAAACAAAATATCGGTTAAAAAGGAGAGAACGATAAGTGAATTACAGCGACTACGGACTTGAAAATAAAAACCTAGTACAATACAATACAATGAGATCGATCGTTTGAACAATGGCTAATAAAAACAAACTGTACAATGAGGATTAAAGTGCCTCACATTATTGCAGTTCCAGGGAGCAACAGAAAACCAGATATGGCAGTTATTCGTTTTTAGGCTGCTTAACTTTCTGTGGACCTGTAGCGAGGGCTACATCACTCGATGAGTTTGAGTGAGCGCATTCCAAAGTGCAGTCGGAAAGTGCAGCGGCCTTCTTCGCAGCCAACTGATTGACTTCGCTTAACTCTTTCCGAAGCAATGCTACGCGGCGACGGATGTCTTGACGAAGCGCATCCTCTTGTGTCCCATCCGATGCCTGGACCTCGTTCTGAGCAAGCTAACAAGAGAGTGGAAAAGGATGAGAACAGATGAATCCGTTAAGAAAACTGAGGATCGCAAAACTACTTAGAATCAGACCAGGCAAGTTGTCATGGTAAATAACCATACAAACAGCAAACGGAAGGGTTGTGTGCTCCAAGCTATCCCCAATTGGTAATGCCCGCCCAGAGGGTATTTTCTCAATGAATAGGGTAGATGGTGGTATACTTATAGGTTATTGCAGTAAAATATTTTATTCTATCGCAGAATATATAAAGTAAGTAAACTATGGTTTCATTCAATTGTCTCTGATTAGCGGAGTTGTACGCTACCAGACACAGATTTATGTTACAGATCGGATAACCGCCGACCAAACGATCGAGCGTAAATGAACGGGCGTGGCGTCACTTAATTGGCAGCTGAAGATGATCATTGAAGCAAGGATAATGAAATTCCATATTCAGATTCGTGCTACTCTGTAGTTGGTAGTAGTTAAATTCTTTTCTCAAGAGAACTTTCAAGCATGACGAATGATTAGCGTAACGGTCGATAGCATTTGCATGCATTTCACATCTGAGACTGTGTTCAAGCTTCTCAGACCAGTTACATGTACACGAGTGAATACGGATCAGGCGAATGCTGCTTTAATCAGCAACAACCACATCAGCTTCCCAAGTAGACCCTCACTACTATTTTTATGAGACACTATTCACAGTTCGCTGAAAGATGCGATTGGCGGTTTCCTTCAACGGTCAAAAATGAATAAAACCCATTAGAGCGGCATAATCATCATCGTACAGCGAAATACAGTGAGACCAAACTCCACTGAACGCTTCCAAACTCGAAATATATACAAGGTTAGCAGTAAAACTAAAGCGAAAAGAGTTTGGCTCCACTTTGAGACAGGGAGAGGAAGAGAAGCACGAGCCAGAATGAACAACACACAATCCCCGTGTGCATGCATACCTTTTCAAGTATTCTGATCTGACAAGAAACGACCACAATAACGCCACCGCTGAAGGTTAGTCCCTATATCCGTTTATCACGGTCTGTCAGCGAATAACCTAAACTGAAAATCGAAATGATTAGAACCGAAATAACCGAAATATTTTATAAATAATTGCAACTAGGTGGCACACAGTACACAGACATTAATCACCGCGCACCAAGGCCCTCAGCTAGTTTTAACTATTGTAATGTGATGAACAGAAAGCGTAAGCCAAATCAGGTAACATACGAGCCTTCGAGATGGTGTGTGTTAGTGCACCCGTGCTTGGCAAGCGAGTTACAATAAAAAGGTGAAAATGTTAATACAAATTTGGGCTGATTCCGCCCCCAACCTCATTCTAATTGGACTAATAATAGAGGAGGCAGACAATCTTTTAATCCTTGGCAACTGCATCTCTCCTTCCGAACAAATCTCAGATAAGGCGCCAGTACAAATGCAGAGAATTCGACTGATGTTTTAAAACTTGATATATCTATGGCGCAGCCGCGAGATCCAACTGTTCGTGAGAGGTCCTAAACAGGAAACCTGTGGACAGGTCGTGTTAGGCTTCCTCGATGGGCACATTGGGAACATCGTAATCAATGATCAGAGACACTGAGTGATGTAGCTGAGTGTCTTACACAGTGGCGGTCGCGCATCTCAATTTCCTTGGAATATTAGTCGTCATAAATTTTCTATTTTCACTCTCGGATTCATTTGAACCTTCCAGTCTCCCCTTTGCTCCTTCATCCAAATGGGAAGTTTAGTTCAGTTCAGTTTGTACAACCATTAACCATGCACTTTAGTGCGCCGGTTTTGGTTGCTGTCTTTTGGCTGCCCATTTG